GTCTAACTTTATATTTATGAGCATTAACCTGGAACCTAAGAGTGGTGTGGCTAATGAATTATATAGCCTTCTGAATGGATGAATTGCCAGACTGTCACTGTAACTTTTCTAACAAAAGATAGAGACTGCTACCTGATAATTTGAATAGATAGTATTTTCTCTAGCAATAATATGGTATCTGAATAAAACATACACTAATACATTTTTGCATTAAAGAATAATCCATTGACTGAATATTAAAAATGGCACCTGAATACTTTTTGCCTTGAATCAGATCTTTAGGACTAGAACTCAAGAATTAAGAAATGTGGTCCTAAGATGCTTCAGAACCCTTCAAATTCTGTGGCTTTCAAGTCCAACTTTGGCTCAAGTTAGAAATTGTTATAGCTGCTGAAAGCAAAGATCACTCAAATAAAGCAACCTTAAATTATGAGGCTTTACATCCCAACACTTGTGCCCAAAGAAGAGGAAGAGATTTTTCAAGTAGCTGCTTAATCTGTTACTACCAGCAAAGAACAACAGCACAACAAATTTCAACATTTGACCATTGGTTTATATTCAAAATCACATTTGCCTTTTTTTAGTGACAGAGCTACTGCAAGCTGCAACACAGGTTGTTTTACTGAGACAGTTACAGAAAGAAAAGCATTTGCTTTCTTTGTGCTTGGAGCTGAGAACAAGCAAGATTTCCCCCCTGTGTTGACAGTGTACTTTTGCAATGACAAATAGGTAATTCATTCAAAATAACGCATTATTTACTTATCTAAGGATATGAACTAAAGGGTAAAAAATATATCTGCATAACAGAAAACCAGTGATAAATGTAACTTTGAAAATTTCCCTCTGGCTGAATCACTTATAACTATGCAAAGAACTAGACCACCTTCACCACACCTCCACTCCCTCAGAGATAAAGTTTAATAGACCATCAGCTTTTCCACTGTCACTGCTTGGAAGTCTCTCTGACACTGATAAATGCTTAGCATAGTTTGAGTCTTTCACCCTTCTTTGGGTACACTTTTACCTCTGGGAGGTAGACCATTCTGATCCTGGCACCTGAGGAATAACATCCTCCACTGGGAAGCTCAGCTGTTGTTTCCCTGCACCTGACATTACTGCAATATCTTGAGCCTGTCTGGGGAGAACTGCTGAGTAGCATCAGTAGCCAAGAAGTACTTTGCTGCTTTCAAAGTTTTTCTGATAATCATGTTGTGATTAAGCAGCACACTTACTACTGTAGATAGGATAGCATTTAACCTGAATGAGCCACAGAATTTGACAGCAGAGTTACAGAAAGAGTTAATGCACTGGCTCAACCTATCAGGCCTCTCCAGTTTGAAAGACAAAAAAGAAAGTGATAGGGGGAGTGTCCAGAGGGGAGCAGGGGAGGAATCTGACCCTGCAATCTGGGAAGATCATTGTACACAGAGGCGAAGTTTTCCATTAAAAAACTTGAAGTAAAATAACTCACTTCAGACATTTAGTTTCATAACAATGGGGAAGTGTACTTAAAAGCTTATATGTGAAACATTTTCACACTTAACGACATTTTGGATTGAAAACCTGGGAAAAAAAAAAAAAAAAGAACAAACCCCACACCAACAAATCCCCTAAGCAAACATTCAAACCCCCTATACTACAACCTACTCATCTGAAAATGTGTGCATTTGTTTTCTGAATGCCCGATAGCTACATAAACTCATTGCTAACAGGGGGGACAAAAAGTGTTTGAATGCCTGCAGCTTAGTTATGAGGGAGGAGAGTGGGGAAAGCCATTTGAAAAACATCCACTTAAGCTGTGCTATCAGGAACACAGAAGACAATTCAGAGTTGTAAGAAAGTGAAGGTATTAAGCACATAGGCAGATCCAAGAGCTGTGTAGCAGAAATCCAGATAAGCAAACCCTTAATGCTGTTATTCCACATATGCAACACAGGTAACTAGAAATCTGCAGATCTCTGGGATCTCCTGCACAGGTAAGAGGCACCTTTTTTGTGCTTAGTATATATTCCCTGGTTTCATATGTAAAAAATATGTCTGTGTAACACACATACAACAATACAAAATATCTACCATGGGAATTCTGAGCAGCTGAAATAACTATCAAGCAGTTATTATATATGCTTTTTTTTAGTATTCAAATTTTTCATAATGTGATTTATAATTGCTAATTAGACAAATACTTGCATAGAAAAATTAAAATACTTGTATGAATTAACTTTTGAAAACTTCTATGCAAAGCATAATTTCTAATATTATCTGGAATCCCTTCTTGCACTGGTGCCCAGAATTAGAATTATCCCTCTTCTGGATTAAAGATGCATTGGTGGATTAGTCTATCACTGATGACAACATAATACATCCTTCCTAGAGGCTTAAAATGAATGGAAGTCTGTTAACTACAGACTATGTTAAAAACAACAACCAAAAAAAAATAAAAGCCCTCTGATACAAAACCGTATTTTACCATTTAAATATCATGATGTGTGAAGACAATGTGGTTTGAGAACCACAGGTTCAGAGCGAGGTATCAGTTCTATTCCTTTCACAGACTGTACCACCTATAAAATTAGTAAGACATGAGACTGATTCCTGCAAGGGTTAACCAGCAGTATTACTTCTAGCTTTAGTCATCTGAGCATCCTCAGGAATACCACCTGGACAATTTAAATGAAAACAAAATTTGCTTTAATGTTTCTACTTGATGCTCAGATATGTATACACGTTTTTCAAAATTGTGTTTATTTACTTAAACTTTTTTTGTCAGTTGAAGCAATAATTTTATACTTAAATTTAGTATTTTTAAAGGAAAAATTATATTGTGTCAAAGCAAAGCAGATGAGCTATTTCTGAAGATTTTAAATTGAGCTGTGATATGGATTAGGATACATAACTGTTTCAGATAACCAAGTTGATTCACTGGTTTATTCTAACACTCTAAGAGGTGTTATGTTATTCTGTAAATTAAGACATGATACCAGGTTTCCATAGAATACTACTATCCTCCAAAGGTTTAGTAGATATGAGACTACGTAGCTCGTAAAAAGTCTTCCCCTGTGAACTTCTGAGAATAGGTCATATTACATGCTGATAATCCCACAACGATGACTTCTAGAATAGGCCTGTTTAATATTTAAACCAAATTCTGAAATGTTGACTAAAAAGAAAAATGTCACTGCCTGTAATAAAATATAATATGCTGTATTTTCTGGAGGCACTTAAATACCTAAGTACATTCTTTTTCAATTACAGCCCAGGAAAAGATAGATGAGTAGTTAGCATTAAAGATTTCAAAGTAAGACACTGACATTTGTTTCTGGGTTTGGAAAAGATTGGCCCAATTGACTTTGTAGTTAGTAGAATCACTGGTTTTAAAAGACTGGATAAATACAGCTATAGAATTCAGCTAAGCAATAAACTTTCTTCCACACTTGTCTGTTGGTGTCATTGAGAACATGGGGATTTGACATTTTTCTAGTGTTTTATTAAATAAAAGACCTTTATGTCATCACTAGTATGGCTTTTAAATTGGATCTTTGAAGAACAACACATAATTTGTCAAATGTTGGTGTGTACAGCTCACAGGCTGCGTGCTCCATCCTTTGCAAGGAAGCTATTGTAAAGGAGGGAGTCCTGAGCACAAACAGGGAAGAAATGTTTTTCTGACAAATATTGGTATCAACAACAAGACTCTTACTAGAGCTGCATGGTTCAGTACTCAGTAAATACCACCCATACGCTTTATAGAAATAAAAGGGTAGAAGATAAGGGCTGAGTTCCATAGTTGAAGGAATTTAGAGGTACATTTAAGTAGTCTTGAGAGGGATTGCTTTATAATGAAGTTGTACAGCCCTGAATTGTAATCAGCCATGTATCCTCAGACCAGCAGAGCAGATACGATACAGTTTTTTGCTTCTCTGCAATTATCTCACTGTCTGTATCATTTTCTTGATGTTTTACAACTTACTGATCCAGTAATCACAGTTCAGTTCTCTTAATCACACATTAACTGAGCCTTTGAGAAAATGCCAATAGATACATAACCAAGAAGATATCAAGCCCATTAGACTGCAGTGTTTCCAGTCAAGAGAAAGCTGATGGCAGCTCATATCTGAGTTTGTTTTTCCACCAACTTTGGATGACTGGGGGCGGGTTTTAAGGGAATTAAAGGGAAGAGAGTTCCCCCTATCCCCTTTTATTTTATTTAGTATTCATGAGCCCCATTAAAGAAGAAACATAAGGTACTCCTAATCCCTAGCCGTGGGGAGGAAACCAGCTTCCAACACTGAGCCGGCTCCTCGGCACCGCCGTGCTGGAGCGGGACCGTGGCGGCTCCGGGGGGCGGAGTGATGAGCTGCGGGACGCGGAACAGGTCACCACACCGTCCTGTCAGGACAGTCGTGGGGCTGGGACCCGTCCATGGTCCTGCAGCGGTAAGCCGCTGCAGCGCTGCCGCTGAAGGGCCGCTCCTTCCTTCCTCCCTCCCACCTAGCACCCGCAACAGCTGCTGCCGCTGCTGAGCCCGACTTGCCGGAATCCAGCTTTGAAGGAGATTTAATAGCCGGGCTGGGAGTAGTAAAGGAAAATAAATCTCCAAACCAGAGCCTTGCAGAGGTTCTGAAACCTGCCTTTCCTTCCAGCCTGTAGGCTGTCAGGGGCGCCGGGCGAGGTGGAAGCTCCAGCCCAGAGCACAACTTTCCTGAGAAGATCCCGGCTCCAAAGGCAGCCCGGCCCCCCGGAGCCCCACGCAGAGGGTAGGGAGGAGAGGGAACCCGGCACCCTCCTCACCTGCAAAGCAGTGGAGAAACCAGGCAGGAGAGAGGGAGAGGCTGGGATCTCCCTCGCCTTTCCCTCCTTATTCCCGGCTTCTGGTACCAAGGAAAGCCCCCTGAGGGCGGATGAGAGGAAAAAGGAGGCTCCCACCGCACGCACGGTGTCTTCCGAGCATCCCCTTCCCCGGGCACCCGGAGCCGACGCCCGCTGCCCCAGCCCGGACTCACGTGTGCCGTCAAACCGGGTGGCGATGGTGTCGAGGAAGGTGTTTTGGGGTGCCAGTAATCCCTTCATAACCGGCATTTTTCCAGCACGGTGAGAGGTTCCCCATCAAAGTTTGCCTGCTAGGGTGGCTCGAGAAGAAAGTGCAGAGGGCGCCCGGGGAAAAGGAGGAAAGAGGCGGAGGCAGGGAAGGATGGATGGGGAGGAGGAGGCGGGTGGGGATGCCTCGCGCCGCCTCCGGCGCAGGGAGCCCCCGCTCGTCAGAGCCAGACACACGGAGTCCCCAGCCCTGCCGCGGAGAGCCGCGCACAGGTGCGGAGCAGCCGCCCCCCACAGAGCAAAGAGGGAGGGGGGCGTCGGCAGAGAGCGGCGGCAGGTTGGAGGGCTGCGGGACGGCCACCCTTATCTACCTGCGGCTGGAGCGGGGCGGGAGCCGGCGGCCTCCTTGGGGTGCCCGGCCCTCCCCATCCCAGCCTGACCCGTCCGGCCCTCAGCATGTAACACGTTTCCTAGGCTAGAGGCGTATTATCTCCCATGAACCCTGTTTTGTAAGCAACGATACTGTAGGGTAAAGCATGAGATCTGTCTTTGCTGAAAGTAGAAACACTATTGTCATGGACAGCAAGTGCCCCTAAAAAGAGACTAGAACATGGAGAACACTTCATCAGGTGTGTGGCCTGATGCATTGTTTGCACATTGAGGCTGTTTACTTAAGGGATAGACCTTTTCAACTTGTGTTTCCTTAATAATCTTTTAGAAATTTCTCCCTGAAAAATTCCACATTAGGATAATTAAGTTCCTTAGGCTGGTAGTGTGACTTTTTAAATGCGGCCAAGTAGCACTCAATGGCACAGTCATTTCACTTACTGTAGCAGCAATGGCAAAATTTCTCCATGTTCTTTCAGGACTAAAATACACTCTTTAATTTGCAAAGCCAGTGTGCACTATGGAGGGGAAACCTGTTGGTCTCTTGCTACTTTATAGTACTGTTATTTTTATTTCATGCTATTTCCATTTATTAGGGTTTTGTTTTGTTTTTGTGTGTGTCTCCAGATAAGTAGAGTATTTTGATTCCCACTTTTGCAGATAAGAAGAACAGAGAGAAGATCCAGGAGGGACAAAGAGGGTCTTTCTTTACAAGAGAGAAATAAAAGGAAAAACATCCAATCCCCAAACCTTGAAAATGCTTATGCATAGGTTTTATAGCACAATATAAAAGTCTACCCACAGCAACCCCCCTTGGCTCCAAAAAGCACAGCAGTATTTTACTGAGACCATGAACCTGTCCAGTTCTTGTACAGGAAGCCAGTACAAATAAACTGATATAGAGCTGCCAACTCAGTTTTCAGAAGTAACATGAAAATAGAGACCGCCTTACCATCACTATTACTTTGGAAGTCTCTAAGATCTCACAGTACTATCAGTTTCTTAGTTGATAAACTTCAGATTCATGGCAGGCTTTTACCTTCATTGGGAATCATTAGTCTTTTCCTTAAGACATACAATTTTTAATACTGAATGCCAGCAATTGCCAATTTTCTTTTTCAAAGTTATTCTCACACAGAATCACAGAATATCTTAAGTTGGAAGGGACTTATAAGGATCCTTGAGTACAATTATCTGCTTTTCACAGGGCTACCTAAGTCATATGAGTAAGAGTCCTCCAGATGCTCCTTGAACTGACAGGCTTGATGCTGTGTGGAGCCTGTTCAACTCCAGTACTTTTAAAATGTACTAGTAATAAAACTGAGGCATTAATTTCAGGTGAAAAATACAAAGCTCAAAATTAATTTCTCTTGATAGCTTTCCATTTAGTCCCACTGGCAGGTATCACACTCCTACTTAAATTTGAGGCTACATGTCCCTACATGTGAAACAAAGGTAACCCTATTTCAGTACTTGCAAAATCCAGAAGAGCACAACCAGATTTTCACTTCGGTCAAAGCGCTCAGCAGCAAAGGTTGAGGTAAATCTGAATCTTCAACATCTGCCAAGGGACTCGTGTTGTACCTAGTGTGCTATGGTTGTGTTTTGGTTTGCATTCTTCTCCATGACCTGCCCCAATTGCCATGCATGTAGGGATACAGGGAAGAGAAAGGAATATATTCTCAATCCTACTGCAGGCAGTCAGAAGACAGTAATGTGTATATTTAAAAATAGAAAAGTGTTTCTCAATTTTGACTCCCCAAAAGTCATCACAAAATGCAAAAAATATATACAGGGGAGTCAAATCACCATCTAATAGTTCTGCCAACCCATACGTTTTTAACACCATACTTCCTCACATGCAACATAAAGTCTTAGCTGTAAACATGATGCTTTTTTGATGACTACGATATAATGGCCTCAGTAATTGTAAAGTTTTATTAAGAGTCCATAGACTTCTTTAATAGACATGAGAGAGAAAATGTTCAAATAAAGCCTAAGAATTTGGGTGGATCACTCAAAAATTATGCAGATATGCACACCAGAAAAGATAGATGGCTACCAGAGAAGCTAGGTGGCATGTTTCATGGTCATAGTGGTGAACACAAATTAGTTATTGAAATATGTTCACCGCTGGCCAAGGGGAGGTGATAGCAGCGACAGTGAAAGCTTTGGCACATTCTGCAACCTTTTACTCACAAAAGTAATCCTCCTTAATGCAGACTGGCACTTAACTTCAGAGAGTTACACAGCACAGAAGTCTGGAGTAGTCTGGCGTAGTTCAAAACAGACAAATTCAGCAGGTTAAAATTTCAGTAAGCTGAGAACAAAAAGTTCAGAAAAGCAGAGAGAAAACAGATGAGAGTATTATAGAAGGAGATGAAGGAGCTGAAAGTTTTTAGTCAAGTCTGGGGAAATTATTTCTTAAGCTTTTAACAAAACACCAAGTAGGGAATCTGCATACTTCCACATTCCTGTCTGTTTGCCGTGGAACTTTTCACTTAATTTAAAATATAAGAGAATAAAATTATAGGAAGACAGTACCAGAGCTGGGAAATTAATGGCTAATAACACTGCTGCTACAGTTCACACTGCCATTGGCATATACGTTGCAAATGAAATTTAGGGGCTTGGAGTTTAGACTTGAGGTACAAAGAAAACAAGGTTTGTTGCTTCAACTTACTCAACAGTATGTAAAATATAATCTCAGCCATACGTTTCCTCCCACTTACCTACAGCTACTTGGGCACTCAACATAGCACATTACAGTTTGAGGCACTATATAATCTTTCTAGGCACTGCTTGTTAATCTTGAAATGAGGGCATGGGCAGAGAGTTTTGCACAGAGCATATGCAAGGAGCAGCATTTTTGGTCATAATTATACACCTTTTCTTCATGTACAATTTTTGATTCAACCCAAAACACATTTTCCAAGTTTCTTTATTAATATTCCACAGTACCACAAATTACCTCATGACAAAAGTTGGGAGCTGCTTATTGCTTGCCTCTCATAAGCACTTTACCTCAACATACCTGCTGTAGTTATGCAAATGTAAACAGTCAGTGAAAAATCAAATTAACAATCATAAAGGACTGCATGAAGCTTGCTTTTGTGCTTTGAATTGCCACCCACTTATTTATTTTTGTTAACCTAGGCATCCAATGGGGAAAAAAAAAAAAAGAAAAGAAAAAAGACTGATGAAAGAGTCTGAAAATACTAGGAAAGGGCAAAGAGTGGCAACCTGCTGTTCATCTGCTGTGAACAGGCTAATTTAATCTGAAGTAGTGTGTGTTAAAAGTATTATCTTAACAAATGATTGTTATGCTTAAGGACATATTGGTCCCTTTCTTTCATTGTGCATAAGCAAAACCCAGAACTTTTGAAGAATAAAGCTACATAATTGAAACTCCACCAAGCAAACAACATTCTGAGTCGAAGTTTAAGTACAAAGATAGCACATCTGTTTCAGGAGTTGATTAAGTTGCTATAGACAGGAAAAGCTTGCAAGGAAAAGGGTTAAAATACTCATTTCAGTGGGCTCCTTTCCCACTTTCTGTGGGACATGATATTTTTAGACAGACCCTGGGTCTGACCCAAGAAGGTCTGTTCATATGTGCTAGAGGGAGACTATCATATGATTACATATCTGCCAGCAATTCCTACTATAAGACCATGTTTTCTCTTGTATAAAATTTTGCCAAAAATAGCAACCTGCTTCAGACAGACCATATCTCTGGAACACTTCAGTTAAAAAAAAGTAAAGAAATTCAGTCATTTTCAAGATTCAAATGAGGAGGAAAAGCACAGGTTAAGAAATCTTAGTAAACAAAGGAGCAACTCACTGGAACATAATGTAAAAGAGAAGCCATAAGAGGGAATGGGTGTGGGACACGATTAGTAGTTAGAATGAAATGGTTGATGAAACAAGGGAAGTAGAATCTGGCATAAGGAAAAGCCAAAGCTCTGCAGGAAACCTGGAAACCCTCAACTCCTTAGAAAGTTGAAGTCAGGGGAAGAAAAGACCCAAAAGTCATTAGAAAACAAATCCCAGTTGAATTAGTCTCAGTGGGAACAAGATAGAAGATAAGCAGCAGGAGATGAAGCAGAACAACTTAAATAATGGGACAAAACACCAAGAACGGTGAAACGTGAGAAAGAAAACTGGAGCTGGGTAGCTAGACAGAAAATACAGAATTGGATCAAGAACAATTGCGGGAGGCAGGTCAAATAAGTGAAATACAGGAGAAGAAAGCAGAAGAATACATGCATGAGGGTATCTGGAATGAAGTATCTGAAATGAATTTAAAGATTCAAACCTCACTTATCTCTGCTACTGCCAAATACCTGTGAAATGTTTTTTTCAAAGCTTCATTTCTCTTTGTGCTGGTGTAAATAAAGGATGCAAGCTTACTGATTTTCACAGACAATGCCACTCACTAATGTACTGAAAAATCAATGTAGTAGATTCAAAAGGTTCTAGCTGTACTCATACCACAAGAAAGTTCAGATGCAATTTTTGGTTTTGTGTTTCTTTTTTAAAATATATGGGAAATCACACATATCAGGTTTAATTTCATTATTCATATTGTTCAACTACATAGAATGATAATGTTCTATACAATACTGATTTGATTTTTTTTCATACTTAGGAAGCTCATAGTACGTTCACAGACCCAGGTTTCAAGTCTGCATCAGATTTATATAAAAAGGAGATATGCTGTCCTATCTCTTCTGGAAAGTAGAAGGTGAAGTAAGATTTGAAGATCGTCTTGCTGTCAAAC